CACTGTAAAGTTTCCAAGTTGTAGCTCAGTCTGACATTAATGTTTGAGATATTTTGCAAAAAAATGTGTATGCAAACTACCTAATGAATCGTTTAGCATGTCAGAATTTCAGCTATCATACATATTAAGTCCTTGTTTGCTTACACATGATGATATTACATGATTTCAAACTGAAACTGACTTTTCAGAAATAGGCACGACCAGTGGTGGCATAATATTAACCCTGTATTACTATGGTTTGAGGTAGTTTCTCCAACATCATTTAATGAATTTTGGGAACTGGGACTTATTTTGTGTGAAACGCAAATTTTCTTCACATACATATCCACCAATAGAATAGCTCTCTTGGTTTCAGATAGTAAGTTTGTTTCAAGATGTGTCACTGAAAGACAAAGATCCACGCACATTGGATTGGAAAAATATACAAAAATGGGCACCAAATTAATCTTTGGTTTAAGAAAACACTAACTTTACAGGGCATTGTAAGCTGTGTGATGGAGATATAAATGTAAAACACATGGGAATTCAAGCACTTCACCACACACTTCTGGAAAGAAGCATACCAAAATGGATAATTTGAGGTTTGGCAAGGTGATAAAAGAGGAAAAACAGTGTAACAACCCTAAATGTACAATGCCAACTGTATCTGCAGACAACCTTGTGCCTGGTGACAGTCCATTAGCAGCCTCAATAGATATTCCATCAACAGCCTCATCTAAGACAGAGAGTTACCAATATGATATCTTTCTTGCAAGTTCACAACATGCTAGTAAGAGAACCATAGGTGCATATTTCCTTAAAGTAGATTCAAAGAGTACATGTCAATCTGAGAAAAATGTAGAACAAAGTTTGTTAATTCCACCTTCCTCGGATAATGTGGTCATTCCTGCACCTACTCAAGCTCAGTCCATTGCAGTTGATGGCAAAGCTGCTTAGAAAACAGTTCAATGTTACCTAACCATAGCTGATCAAGCAAGGGAAGCTGAAATTCTGTGGGCAAGGAAAGTTGTTGATGACAATTTTAGTCTTGCCAGCTGTGAGTCTATAGTATATTCTAAGTCATGGGACTGGACCACTTTTCACAGACTCATAGTGCAAGCGATTATGAAAGATGGAATGTAGTTCACTGTGTATTTATATTAAAACTACAACTTCAAAGGAAAGAAAGCAGTTTGACTTGTTACTGCAAACCAATTAGCTTA